AGCAAGGAAGAGAGAGTGAGACTAAACGAGAGGGAGGATGAGAGTAAGAGGGAGAAAGAAAGGGAGAGAGAATAAAATATAGAGAAGTTCAAAAGAGATTTATAATTTTTAAGAGAGAGTGCGAGGGAGAGAAAGAAAATGATCGTGAGAAATAAAGAGAAAGGGAGAGAGTGCATTTATGATAAAGAAGAATAGAGGGGGAAAGAGAGAGAGAGGGATAGAAGGAGAGAGATATATATACTTGGTTTGTGTAATTTCTTATAGAGAGTAAGAAAGAGAGACGGAGATAGACGGTAAGAGAGTGGGTAAATTGAGAGATAGAGATAGAGAGAGAGAGTGGGAGTATGGGATAAATAAAGAGAGTGAGAGGAGAGGAAGGGGAATATATATATATATATATATATCTGTGTGTGTGTGTGTGTGTGTTCTTAGAGAATGACATAGAAAGATTAAGAGAAGATAGTGATAAAGAGTGAGTGAACGAGAAAGAGTATAATATATAAAGAGATTAAGAGAGAGAGAGAGAGAAAGAGAGAGAGAGACGAAGTTAGAGTGAGAAGTAACAGCATGAGCGAGAGAGGAAGAGCGTGATAGAAAAATAAGGAGAGTTTTAGATATGGATGGGAGAGATAGAGAGTAAGAGAGATATAGTTAGACCAAGTGAGGGAGAGAGAGTGATATAGAAATATATATTTGGAGAGAGAGAGGGAGGGAGAGGGAGAGACAGAGAGAGGGGAAGGAGAGACAGAGGGATAGAGAGAGAAAGAGAGGGAGAGTAAGTGAAATATATTTTTCATGAGATAAAGGGAGAAAGACATAAAGAACATGATAGAGGAAGTAATAAGAAGAGGTAGGTAGAGAGAAAAGGAGAGGGAGAGATAGTGAGAGGTTGGTGGGTTGAGAGAGAGTGAGAGAGATAAAGGGGAAAGAGTGGGAGAGAGTTTGAGAAAGAGAGAAGGAGATAAAGAGAAAATAAGGTATAATGAGAGAAAGGGAGAGGGAGGGTGCAATGGAAGAGAGCAAGAGAAAAAGCATTCAATAAATAGAGCAAGGAAGAGAGAGTGAGAAAAAGCGAGAGGGAGGATGAGAGTAAGAGGGAGAAAGAAAGGGAGAGAGAATAAGATATAGAGAAGTTGAAAGAGATTTATAATTTTTAAGAGAGAGTGCGAGGGAGAGAAAGCAAATGATCGTGAGAGATAAAAAGAAAGGGAGAGAGTGCATTTATGATAAAGAAGGATAAAGGGGGAAAGAGAGAGAGGAATAGAAGGAGAGAGATATATATACTTGGTTTGTGTAATTTCTTATAGAGGGTAAGAAAGAGAGACGGAGATAGACGGTAAGAGAGTGGGTAAATTGAGAGAGAGAGAGAGAGAGAGAGAGAGGGAGTATGGGATAAATAAAGAGAGTGAGAGGAGAGGAAGGGGAAGATATATGTATATATATATATATATATA